CCGCAGCAACTGGTGAAATTTCCTGTATAAATATGGATGAGCCCAGAAGGAAAAGGGAAATTAGAAATTGCCCCATTGCCGCAGGTCCCGGCGGCAGCAGCCGTGGCCTCTGTGCTGCCGTCCCGGGGCTCCCACAGGGGTGTCTGCGGGCTCCTTATCGCAGCCCTGCAGGGGCACCCGGAGCATCGTACCGCTAAAAACCCACGGGCTTTGCACTGAGACATCCCTGTGCTTCGGGTCTTGGGCAGAGGCTTTTTTACTCAGCTTCATTTCTTCCCTAAACTTGGGCCGAGTAAATGACAGATCTTTTACCACTGTCCCGCCATTCACAGCACCTCAACGTTTCGGTGACACTGCTCAGAGCTGGTGTGGGCAGGACAGGCTTAACGCCGCTGCTCGGCCTCATCCAGCCTTCTCTGTGCTGGCACCATGTGAAGCTGAGGAGTTTGAGGAGAGTTCCCCCCCCTTCCCCAAGAATAATTCCTATTTAGTGAAGGCCCAAGTGTAAAAGAAGAAATACAAGAAATCTTTTGGAAATAAACCGTAAAGTCTACAAGGCAAAGACTAAAAATCAACTAAACCTTAACTCTCCTTTGCTTGCTTTCCATTTTGAACTAGGGAAAAGTCCCATATAAAAATTTTGCACAGATTGCCAAAGGAGCTTGCATGATGTTCCACATCGTGGGACTCCTTTTCCCACTTAATTCCTTTGTGTTGAATAAGAAGAGGTAATTTTCAGACGTTAACATTCAGACTGGTAGTAAAACCAGTTTGATCTCACAATAAATGTTTCTTCACCTAAGTGAAAACAATTAGAAGATTAAACGATTCTGAAAAGTCAAATAGTATGATGTTATAGAATGCACTGTAGTCAGAAACAGTGCCCAGATAATGAGATACTTGGTTTCCCAGACACAAAATAAAGCAAACCTAATCTTTTAAGAGATCATTCCCTAAAACTGGGTCAGAAAATGTTGCTTCCCTTTGCCAGCAGTTAATAAAACCATGAAAATCCTTCCAGATAACAAAGTATTTAACAGGATTTCATAGGAGAGTTAAGTACACCAGAAACATTCAGTTAGACTTAGCAATGCTCATTAATTTACTTTATCCAAACCATCAATTGTTGGTCAACTGTTGAAAATACTTGATAAGTCCACAGAGATTTCCTAAGTGTGTAGCGTCCCACATCATTTTCAGATTGGGAGAACAGGATCTGTGCTGGACATCATCATCCTTGTCAAAGAGTCAGCCACCTTTCTGTACCGCTTTCACTAGTGTGAAGGGACGAAGAGATGTCTGTGTTTCCAGGCTGAAGTCAGCGGCTGCTCTCTCAGGCGTGAAGATGGGCTCAGTGAGGTCAGCCGGAACCAGCCTGGACTTGTTTCAAAAAGCCAGCGTGAAGGAGGGTGACGTGTTCCTTCCGAGGAGATGAGCACAGCAACTCGCCTCTAATCGGAGCACTAATGCCTCGCCTTTGGTTATTTGGGTTTTGGCCGTAGGACTGAAGCCTCTCTGCCAAGAGAGTCTCCATCTCTGGAGGTCTTCAAGACCCAACAGGATAAAGCCCTGAGTAACCTGGCTTGGTCTCACAGCTGATGCTGCTTCAAGCAGGAGTTTGGACTACAGACCTCCTTGGGTTCCTTCCAACCTGAGTTATTCTGTGATTCTATTATTTTCATCCCTTTTACATCTATCATCTTTGGCTTTCTTCAGCTATCAAACTGATAAAAACTAGGTTTGAAAGTTCATTTTTATAAAGCTTGGCCGGAAAAAAAGTTGCGAGTTTAACCTCTGCGATGTATGACCCAGCCAGAGGTAAGAATCTCTGCAGGAGATGCAAATATCATTATAGCTCTTCAAGGAAAAATTATAAACATGGCTGGAAATTACAAGTCTCTTGAAATGTATCTCGCAGGCCTATATGCATTTTCAAAACAAACTGAAACTGCAGAATAATAACTACTGAAACACATTTACAGCACTACAGCCTCCAGTGCCCTGCACAATAAGGGCCACGATGACTTTTGGGCAGAGTGTCCCCTGGCTGCAAGGTTATATATCGTACAGTCTGAGCTGCTCCTTCATGTCTCCTTCAGACATCTCTCCAAACGTGTCACTTTTCTCCTTCATGAGCCTGAAGATGGCAGCCAGCTGCTCTCTCTGAACCCTGTCAAGAAGAAAAGGAGAAGTAGGAATAGCCGGTCCCCAGAAGGCATTTTGAGCACCATGGTCAAACGCAACATGAAGCCAAACGCGGGTCGTTTTACAAGCCTTGCTGGCCACAGGAAATCTGCCCATCTGAGGTAGGAAAGAGATGATGGCCTCTGGTTCTCCTTCCTCCACCTTCCCACCTATCCAGTCATCCTGCACATCTCTCTGCAGCCCTTTGAATGTGGAGAGAAACCAGACTGCTTTTAACACCAGCTGTGGAATTCCTTAGGGCTTATCTATGCTCGAAGTTTCAAGATAACTTGACGTGTGGAATTTCGTAAGACCAACATGTCCCAGTCCAGCAGTCTCGGTAATGAAACCGGATTGAGTTTCATCAGCACCGTGTCCTTTCATTCTGTAATGACAGCATGGAGCTACAGAGTAATTCAGGAATAGCAATTAAATTTTAAATGCATATCCTACCTGAAAACTAGAGACCAATCTGCCTTCCAGTGTGGACGTGGCTTTAATCAGCCACTGGGAGATAAGATCACACAGGAATTCGCTTTGATTCCACAGTTTGTCTGCCAGTGTCACATGGAGAGACGGACTCATGTACCAGCCCAGCAGCGAGGGGATCCCACAGGCTGACCCGTGGACCACCTCGCTCAGGCTTCCACCCTTAGATGACTAACTTCCTTCTCCCCGTAGCAGCTGATACCCTGATTTTTCCCTAACCTGCAGCAGTTTACCATTGTTTTATGTCCCGAGCACAATGCCTGGTCCCTGCCACTGGGCTTTGTTCGAGGAAGCTTTGCAGGAGGGTTACACTGGTCATACATCCACTGATCACCACCCAGGGGTACAGGAGGGTGCGCAGCACAGGAGTGTCATTCGTTCGCAGGTAGCTCATGAACTGACGCAGTTGTCTACAAAATCCTCTTTGAGGGCCGAAAGGAGCGTGCGCCCTGCGCTGGCTCCTCTCAGGGCTGGCATGTTCCCACTGCTCGCGCCCTGTCCCACTGGGATCAGGCGGCAGTATCGCCCAGCACAGCTCCCACCTGACCCTCCTGTGTGGGATTAAAGGAACTGGTGAGGTTGTGGTGCTTTATGGCTGTGACAAGGGAGAAACAGTTGCTGTTACTTCAAGGCACATTTTGCCCCTGCGTGATTGTGGGGCCAGAACTTGGCAAGAGCTCAGCAGTTCAGAGCACAGATCTGCTGCAGTCCCAGCTCCTCCTGCTTGCATCTTTACACCTCCCCTGGGCTAGAAAGACAGACTCCGGCTTTTACTTCCACATTGTCACCCTGTCAAGAGTCCTCTGTTCCCATCATTGCCAGGTTTCCTTGTAGGACTTTAATACACTGTAATTAATCCATTTAAATCCGTTAGTTAACCTGGGGTAGTCCTGCAAGTCCTGTGTGGACAAGCTATGAGCTGTTCCAGTGACAGGAGAGACAGAAATATCTATTGACAGGCACAACCAGGACTCTTTGCTTGAAGGAGAGACAGCACCAACACATCACAAGCAACCACATCACAGAAAAGATCAGTGGAAGGAGACAGTCGGGTGCCTCCACGTGCTGAGCTCCTGCGGCTCGGGGATCTGCCTTTTCCCCTCTCCTGCACCAAGCCCCAGCAGAAGCAGGAACCACAGGCCATCCTCCAGCACTGCTGCAGCAGGCAGAGCGGGAAAAAAAACGAGATCCTGGCAAAAGCAACCTCATTTGCCAATCCTCTTCTGTTGCAATTAAAATGCAGTTTTGTCCTAAGGCCAGACGTACCCTGGTAATGATCTTTTGCTTATGAAAGCTCCGGCCAGAGGCTGTCAGGAGCCTGGATTTGCCCGTCTCTTTTGTAATTTTTTGTGCTCACATAAATAGCATCCAACTGCCCTTTGCAGACGAGAGGAAGGGAAGCACAGTCGTTAGTGATCAATATTTTATTTTAGAGCACCGCTGGGCACCAGAGGGCACATTTCCAGTCTGGGCTGGAGAAATCCAATACACAGCTTTGCCTCCTGTGTCGGAAATGCACGCCAGCTGGGAGTGCTCCACACAGGTCTGCATCCCTCACTCCTTATTTCACTTACATTAACCCTGATGAAACCTCCCCAAAGGCCTGTTTCCTTGTCTCCCAACCTCCAAAAATCAAGATCATGGACAATATCCAATTTTTCTTTTTCTTCAAGCGCAACACCAATGCATTTTGGCTCTCCCTTCAACTTTAAATACCATGAAAAACAGCATTTGAAAAACAGAAATAAAAGAGCCGTTACTGCTGTTATGTCTCTGTGCCACAAAATCTACAACAAAGGGAGAGAAAAACAAAGATAAAGAGAGAAAAGAGCCTGGGAAAGAAGAGCGAGGCATCAAAACCATGAAACTGATTTCAAGAAGGAGCTTCTCCTATCAAAGGCAACCTTGCAAAACAACTTTGTAGTGCTTCAGGTTGTTTATTTTTTGATGATTTCAGATCAAACCTACCCCATTCACAAGTAAAACCATCTCTTTTCCCGTAAGTGCCGTCCTCAAAACTACTTGGATCCAGGAGGTCAAACAGGATTTTTCTTATTGCTGACAAAACAGATTAATTAACGATTTTCAAAGCAGCCTAATTCTTCTTGATAGGCAATTGAATTTGCATACTTAACTCCCTTAGGCTCTTTTTAGACATTTAAGTCCAAGACTTTCATGATTACCTGGAGGTTTGGGGCAGTGAGCCACAGGGATGTTAAAGGAGATCTCAGTTTCAGGAAGTGCCAGGCATCTGGGCAGAGCTCTGCGCTGGGAATGCTGCTAATTGCCCTGGGGCCAAACAACACCAGGATCCTGCTGCAACGCTGCCTTGCTCCAGCAGAAATAAGGGGAAAAAATCCCTTATTTTGCCAGTGGTCTGAGTATTGTTAAGAAAGCCAGTGGAACCATTTATGGGGTAAAAGGCATCGGAGGGTAGAATGTACCTCTAACCTAAAATCCAGATTTTCAACACAAATCTCTTGAGAGAGAAGTTACAAGCTGCCGGAGGCAGGGAGAACAAGCACAAACCAAATAAACTATTCAAAGGTTTATTGGACCAAACAAAGGCAATTTTTACAGATTCAAGCCACTAGAATTACAGTCCTTTGTGTAAGAGCCACCATCAGATACAGAACAAACAAACAAAAGTAAAAAATACCCAGACAGCCATTTTGAGTTGAAGAAATAGTTTGACTCGTTGCCGCTAGCAAAAAAATCTGGACTCAACTATAGACTTTGCTTGATGTACACATTGCCATGTAACTTAAACACAAGGTATGTAAGGCATTCTTTGCATAGTTGGGTGCTCAGGACACAGAGTCAGCCAGCACCGAGGGGAGACTGCGGCTGTGCCGGCGGGGTGTTGAAGCGGAGGGTCCAGATGTGCCTAAATCCGTACGCAAACCACTGAACACGCTCGCAGTTGTCAGCTGGGAGGGGGCAGCCCAGCCTCTCCTAAAGCTGGAGCCTCCTGCTGTTCTTTAAACGAGCCCTTTGATGAAGAGTTTGCCAACCCCAGGCGCTGGAAAGGACAACTGTGAACAAGGTTTCAAGTATTGTCTGCATAGGAATTAAAAAGGAGGGGAAAAAAAAGGAAAAGAAAGAAAAAAGAAGACCAGCCTGTTGGGTTTCTGATATGTTTGCAGCATTAAGCTAAGAGGCAGTTGTCCAGCAGTGAGAAACTTTCAGGGACACATTCCCACCCAGCCTGGTGTTAGAGGACTCAGACCCTCTTCTCACGCTTGCAGATGAGCTGGGTTTGCTCTGAAACCTGCTGAGGCAGGTACCTGCGTGGAGCCAGACTCGTCTTCCGCACGGGACAGAGCCAAGAAGCAATGCTGAGCTCTGGCGCCCAGGGACAAGCCACAGAGCTGGCAAGAGAGGAGGGCACGGCCGCAGCAAGCAGAGGAGCGGGGATGGGGTCTCTTGCAGGACCTTCCCTATTCACCCTGAGCCAGAGGGAACTCCCAATGCTGCAGCTGCCTCCTTGGATCTCTCCTTTTGGGAACCAGAGCAAGGAAAGGTGAGAATCTGGGCATTAACGGCAGCCGGAGCGTGGTCTCCTAAACCTCCACCACAAGCAGAACCGCTAAACTATCAATCTTCACTGCCTCTCAAATCTTCTGTCTGCCTACAGAACCAGCTCTCTGCTGAAATACCTACGGAAGCAAGACCTAAGCCAGTCCAGTTCCCATCCTGCCATCCCTCACCTGGAGCCCGCTTTGTCCCTCCACCCCTCAGAACAAAGCAGCGTCGTACGACATTTGAAATCATGGGCAGTTCCCACCCCCCAGCAACAAAGAGGAGTTTGGCCCCAGGAAGATAAAACTTAATAGTCTGGTGTAAGGTCCAGGCTGGTCTGGGGGAAGAGCTATGGTTGGCCCCCCCCAATAACTGACAACAGATTTCATGGCAGCCCTAAAACACGGTCAGGAAGAGAACTAACAGACTCGCTGCATATTTAGTGTCCAGTTTGGGTTCTGTCTGGGGGAGGGGGAGGAAGGTTCATCCCAGCCCCCCAAACACAACTCAAGTCACTGCTTGGGCTCAGCCCCAGCCCATGGAGCCAGACAACAGGGTCTCCTCAAACTTGACAGCACAGGAGCTTTTGAAGAACTCAATGTCAGACCATGAGGGGATCCCAAGTTTTGAGGGTTTACGGATTTCTCTTATGGGTGCGTTTAGTTGGTTTTGGTATTTCTCTCAAGCCTTTAAAGATGCCAAGGGATGCCTTTAGGAGGAGGCTAGGGACAACTTCATATAGTCTTCAGTTCTGCAAAGAGAAATAGGGAGAGAAGAGAAATCATTTCAGTCATTTCACCCCTCAGGTTGGTTCATTATTATTCACATAAATGAGCAGGGAGAAAACTCTGTGTGGAGGGGGAAGGCGAGGCAACTTCCCACCTCAGGGCAGATGAAGTCGCTGTTTGCAAACCTCACACCTCTAAGAAGGAGGCACTTTGCTTCATCGACTGCAGCAGGATAGTCAAAACCCAA